GGTTACAAGCAAGCAAACAGCTTTTTGTTCCACACACTATGCAAACGACATTCTGGGAAAATTGAGTAAAGGAATACGCTTGGTTTTGTGTACGATGAGCCCCCCACCTCCCCCGCCGGCCCCTTACGCTTGCAAAAGGCTCCGATGCCTCTGAACTGGGTCCTAAAAATCATTTGTATTCGTAAAGGAAAAACGTAAAAAGGTTTGGGGATTCAGTCGAGGACTGCCGATTCTGTGCGGCAGGCCCCTGGTGTCCTCTTCTCAGGAGCACTCAGTAAATGCCTTTTGCCAATGCAATTTAACAGCCAATGATTTCTCGTTGTAGAAGTATACTTAGTTATCGAGAAGACCATGAAATAACTGGAGTTGGGTAAACCCGTCTAGTCAGACCATTTTGTTATGAAGGTTAATTAATTAGAGTTTAATAATTATTTTTTCGCAGTTACATTCCCTGTTTCCTCGACATTAATAGGAAGCTTGTTTCTTCACTAGCTATAGTTCAATAGCACAACAAAGAGGCGGGAAAACAATTAGTAGTGATTTATTTCCAGCATATATTCAGTAAAGATAGGAAGGAAGGCCATTCTATTTCAGTTTTTAATTATTTTTGATGAAGAGGACACGATAAGGGAGTTTAAGGTCCAACGACCGAACAGCAAGGAAAACATCGTTCAAAAAGTGAATTTGCGTCCTTTCAGTCTTTATAGCGATTATTCCTACCCACTTACTTTGTCAAATATAGGCGAATCCTACGGAAGCTCAATTTCAAGACACCATATCCAGTCTCAGAAAGAGAAACAAAATTTCGTCGTTGTTTGTTTACGTCCCCCATAAAACGCAAAATTAGGCATTTTCACCGCGTAGTCGTGCAAAAACGGGAAAAAAATGTACAAAAAAGTGCGAGGCACGTGCAAAGTTGTTGTTTTGCTTTATAAAACGGGTGATTTGATAAATGCAAATTTTGCATTTAAGAATCTCTACAGACAGAAACAAAAATTCTCAAATAAAGGACTCTATATACAGAGTGAATTATAATAATCATTGCGAGTTTTTTACTCACTCACATATACGAAGCACAATTTTGCAATTAGTTAATCGCGAAGTTTTACTCTAAATACATGTTTAATACACTGATACAAATGTCGCTCTTAACTATTTTCCTTAACTGCGAAATTTCTGTCTGTTTACAAGAAAGAACACAATTCTCGCACTAAACAATTTTTCCTTAACTGCGAACTTTCTGTCTGTTTATAGTAAAAGACTCAAATCTCGCACTTAAGCAGTTTTTCCTTAACAACAACAACAACAAGTTTATTTCAAATTAAATATAGCTTACAAAGCATGTGCCCGCAATTAGCGAAGGCTATTCGAGGCGGGTACAAGAGAAAAAAGAAAACAAAATTCTATAAATACATATACCATCTATATATATTAAACGAAAAATCCTAGAAGCAATCTAGTTTGTCACATATCACTAGGGATATGTGTTTTATGGGTCATCACCAGTTCGAGAGAAATTCCCTCAGGAAACTGCATCTTGAGATCACTAAAGCTAATCTCAAACTAAAGTGTTTGAAACTCAGTTCACCAACCAACGCTTCTACACCTGCCACCATAGCATCAGCTGCAGATGGCATAAAACATCCTATCCTGCTATGCACCAATCTGTTTTATCTTCTACCCGATTGCCACAGAGTGGTGCGATTCTCAAAACTACTATTTTTCTACATTGAGAATCATAAGAAAAGATGAGAAGGATAAGAGAGAGATAAGAAAGCCTTACTGACATATTTACAGTTGCTCATGGAATGGGTTTCCACCTACATGTATGCATGGGCGAGCGTTCGGAATTTCCATTTGTCCATCGCCACAGCAGTAGAACAGGGCCGGGTGCACTGGCATCATTACGACAAAATACGAGAGCGCCCCCAAACCTTTTTCAGCCAGAACGATTTGCACCCACAAGCATCACTACGTACTCACATGGTAGGGCCATGTGGCCATTCCCTTTCTGCCTGAAGAGAGAACTCGAGTCAACAGATCACCTAATCACTATCCATTCCACCAGATTAGTACATCTAACAACGTGTATCCCAAGGACAATAGTGACTTGGAACAATTTGCCAATGAACACTAGTGTGAACTCTCTTGATAAATTTGAAGGTGTGGCACTTCCAGTTATTAAGTCATTGTTAAAACTCATAGGAACTAATTTATGTACTAGTATATTCTTATTTCATATTTCTATAATATTATTTATTTATACTTCATATATCTAAATAAACTTTTCATTATAATATTTTTGATTTCTTTCTTATAACATTTATATGTGTATATTTTTGATACTTTTTTTATAACTTCTAGTATAGTTTCAACTGTTTTAGGAGTATTTTGATTAAGGGATTAAAAGGCCATGCAATATGTCTCAGAAGTCCTCTGGTGGATGCACTCCTAGTAAACTCTCCAAGGATTATTGTAAGGATAGGAATTTTCTTGCGGC